AAAAAAAATAATATTCTTGAAAGATTACTTTTTTATTTTTGTCTAAATTTTCACTTAAATTTATGGACAAAAACACGCGTACTTTACATCATAATTTTATTAGAATTATAATTTAAAATTAATTAATTTTTTCGTAATAAAAGTATAAAATATATTTTAAAGAATTAAAATATTAAACTTGATAAAAATATTTTTTTATAGGATTTATAAATTATGCTAAAATAGCTTTGATTTTGAGTGATTATTTTAGATAAGAGGCATGAATCACGTGGCTGGAGGATGGATAAAACATGTTACATAAAATGAAAAATCTCTTCTAAATAATAATTTATAGTATAATTTAACATTTTTATGGGTTAGAATTTATTATTTTCTATTTATATCCTATTATAAAGGCTCAGATTATCAATGAATCGAATATAAATTTTAGCAAGACAGGACTTTGCAACTGGAGCGACAGATGATAAATGCATTTATAAGCCTTTATATTTTGACAAATAAAAAATGAAATTTTGACTCACAAAATGTATTTTCCCGTAAATATAGTTGGAAAACTTATTTCTTAGCTTTTCGTATATTATTTTGCCTTCTTTGAAGCGTCCTGTGCTGATGTACAATAAACCAAGATTATCCATAACAGTTGGATCTTCTGTTATTTCTAAAATTCTGTTGAAGATAAAAGATTCAAAATATTTCAATAATTGATTGTTAAACTATGAAATTACATTATTTTTCTACAATAATTTCTTTTATTTAAACATTTTTTTGTTGTTTATTTTACCTTTTATAAATAATTTCTTCTTCTCGAGTTTTCTCTAAAGTTTTCATAATTCTTGCTACATTTAAAAGGGCTTTAAAATGATTCGGTTGATATTTTAATGCTTTTTGATATAATTCCAAAGCTTCTTCAATTCGTCCTTATAAAAAAATAGATATAAAAACTTAAATTTTTAATATTTCAAAAAGTTTTTCCATTATATTTAAAGCTTTTTATGTTGATACTCAATCATTTTTACTAACTATTTAAAGCAAAAATATATAAATTTCCGTATTTATTTTTATTTAAAATTACGTTTAATTTTTAAAATTATTTTCTGAATAATTTTTTTTGATAAATTTATAGTATTTAAGAATATTAAACATGGATTATAATGATGCTAGGGATGCGGAAGAAACGAAATCTTGATAAGATATGCTACATCACTGGTAAAAGATATTGCTATAAGAAATGATATGAAACATCACAAACAGGAGACAAATTGTTATCAAAATATACAAGAGGTGTTAGATAAACACGTAGAAAATATTATATAAACATTAAGAAAGTTATTACAAGATATATACCATACATATAAAAAAAATAAATGTTCCACACATAAGATTTCAATATAAATTTTCTATTTCGTATCTCAAGTTTATTTCTGAATAAAGGAAATGCTATTGTCTTAACATACACGAATGCTATATCAAATATATTTATGATTTTACATATCTATGTGCTGTAAGATAATATTTATAATAGTGAAAATGAATGATTTTCTTACCTAATTTATGAAGGAAACTTCCATAATTATTAAGGTAATTAGCATTTTCGGGTTCTAGTTTAATTATATTGCGATGGATACATTCGGCAATTGTATTTTCTCCTTTGATAGAGTAAAGGTATGCCTGAGAGGAATATGCTTCAGAAAACAGAGGATCCAACATCAGGGCTCTTCTCAAAAGATTAAGTGCCGCTTCAGTTTTACCCAACTGACTGCGTTTTGTAGAAAGAAAAATGATTGTTTTTGGTTTTCTAAATAACTTTCGTACTTTAAAGTAAGTTGAATTATTGAGTTTTACTAAATTGAATTCGTGCAATATATCACCAGACAAGAAGACATTTTTCTCATTTTAAATGATAAATTTTGCATAGGTTAGTGCTGTCTAATATAAATTGCCATACTTCTTAAATTAAAATTTGAAAACAGATACCTGTAAGTAACAGCCAAATTGTAATAAGCTCTCGAATGATAAGGATTGATCTGTATTGCTTTCTTAAAATGAATTTCTGCTTCCTTCTTATCCGGAAGAAGTGTGCCTAAATTGTTATGGGCACTTGCATGATTAGGCCACAAACTAGAAAATTTTTATATACAAATTAAAATTATTTAAACATTAATTAAAGCTATACAAAATAACAACTCGTAAATTTTTACGTGGTAAAGGTAATAAAGTATTTAATAAAAGCTAGTGTTAATTTTATATGTTAAAAAATTTAATATTAATAATTTTTAAAAAGCATTTCATTTCTCATTTCATAATAAATTTTTCTTATTAAATATTTAAAATTTCATAAAACAATTTTTTTAAATCATTAAATATTTATTATTTTTATAAGAGATAAAAAACATTATTTTATTTTAAAAAAGTTATAAGGAAATAGTAAAATTTTTTTATTAATTTTCATAGAAAAATCGATAAAGTTAAAACACATTAGAAGAAGTATGAATAGATAACAACATATGGATTAATTTTTATTAAAATTATTTTTATACGTTGAAAATAATAAATGTAAAGATAAAAATGCACATTTATATTAATTTTTGTGGCATTCTTTTCATTAATTTATTGTTTGCTTTCCATCGACTGAATATTTTCCCTGTGTTCTACCACTACATAAGGAAAGATCAATAGTAAAGAAATGGGTCAAGTAAGATCTCTCTTCGATATTTCTCTTGAATAACTTTCGACATCTTGAATATGTTTAAATAATAACATTTATGTGTCATTTGTTCGAATATATTGTAATATTTCTTGATTTTTTATCATAAATATTAACTAGCGCGCGCACAAACCACACACGCATACATACGCACACATACATACATACATACATATATATGTGACGTGCTTTATAAATATATATTTTAAAAACACATTCTATTTTTAAAGTATAGAGAAAAAATACAAACTTTTGCTCTCCATAATGAGCTCTCTTTTTAAAATTTTATATAAAAAAATATTATCATATTTAAATTTAAAATTTTGTCTTTAAAAAAAATCCCTAAATAAATAAAACTTAAAAAATTAGTTTATATTTAATTTTACGTTTAATTTAAATAAAATTAATTATTATTTACTTTTAACTTTAAATAATTATATTTAATAATAATTCTGATTTATAAAAATATCAAAATTAATTAACTTTAATATTTTGTGAAATAATTCATTGTTTACTTTGAAAATTTATTCGACAATTTATTAAAAGATTTAATATATCATACGATATTAAGTATTTAATTTGTATTTTTACTGAAATTATTAAAATAATTAATTAAAATTAAAGCTTTTAATGTTATGAAATATTTAAGACTTGTAATTTATATAAACATTTTTTAAAAAACAAATTATTTCATTTTATCATTTAATAAGTAAATTAAATAAGATTTCATGTAATTTTATCTGTGAAATGAGAATTTATATTTGAAAGTTTGCAATTTTTTTTATCATTTATATTATTATTAATATCTTAAATTTTTATTTTAACAAATTTATAGACTCTTCTATATGAATCCCAATAGAATAAATGTAATAACTAAGTTAATTAAAATAATTTACAAAATTTTATAACTAAATTTTATTTTTGATATATATTTTAATTATAAAATTTTAAAAATTAATCAATAAAATATTAATTATAATACTTATTGAACGAATGGAGGCAACCAACGTATGCTCTCGTGTATTGCAGGAAAGTGATATTTACAGGCGTAATGACTGTAAATATCACTTTCCTGCAATACAGGAGTGCAATACGGTGGCTAATTTTTTTTGTAATTAATTATTCTTATTATTTATCAAAATTAAATATATAAAAGTGCCCAAAAGTCAGTTAACTATTTTGTATTTTATATAGTATTTTATATTTTACAAGTATTTGTAAGTAAATTGAGTTTGTTTACAGCAGCGTATATATTTATTATAAAATTGATGAAAACGTAAAAGTACAATTGTATTTTTTTATTTAATTTAATCGCATTAATTTTAATTTAGTGTTTGTAGTAGTTAATAGTTAACTGACTTTTGGGCTTCCATTATACATTAATACTTTAGATATATAAATATACATTGTTTTTAATATATATGTGTAAAGCATATAAGTCTTATTGAATGGAAAGTTTGTTCTAAAAAATCTGGTCCTCTAATTGAGTGATTGAGTTAAAGGAGGAGGTTTTTACCATTTACATATACATATGAATGGTTAAACCTCCGTTAAGTCAATCACTGAAAGAAGTTATATATATATAAATGGATAAATGGTAAATGGTAAAAGTTCCTTTTTTACAACAAAATTTTCATTCCATAGAACTCATTGTTTTTAATTCCCCTTAAGCCTTCACCTTTTACTCAACCAATGACCACTGGTCTGATAATCTCTTTCTGTGAAATACCCGCTTTGATACGATCAGTTTTATTACCTAGATGACGAAATCGGAACCATGTGCATGTACAGTACAATATACTGTACAATGTTGAACATGTTCATTGTAGCGTTAGGTATAAAAGTAAGTTCGTCTCAATCATTTTTCCGAAATTTCAATATCTTCATTTACTTTTATTCTGTCCCATCATAAAAAAATATACATAATTAGCTGTTAAAATCCTCAATAACAAATTATCCCGTGCTTTGTTCTTATTAAATTAAATAATGTAATAAAGCCAATACATTTATTCTTTTCATTAATAAGAATGATAATTAATGACTACAAATTTGGGTGGTTTCTGGAATTAATTTGGTCTTAAAGAGGAGTCTGTTTGATAAAATAAAAAAGAAATACTGAAGGCTTCGTCTTGTCAAGAATCTTAAAACAGAAAACACAAACGTCTATTTCAGATTACTTTACAACAAACATTTAAAAATGTATGAATTACAGTATATAAAATTATACATTTTATATATTATTAAATACATTTTTTCGGCGTAGTATTAATGACTAAACAGCATTTAGGGTTGCTATCCATCGGGTTGCTATGAGTCGACATTAATTCGACGGCATATAACAATAGCAACATAGTGTTAGTTAATGAACAGTATTTATTAAATAGCTTTTGCTATATTGCCTACACATTAATCTGGATAGTGTCACACTAGAATATTACATATATCATGTAGTATTGATTGACATATTACTACATATACTACTCTGTATTCATTTTATATTCGTTACCACCCATAACAAGACCATCTTGATATGACCAGTTTTCCTAAATTTTGGGGGTGGTGTGGACGTTTTAAAGAGGTTTTACTATATATAATAGTCGAATACCATACATCTATCAGCTAAGTAGATCTAAATACGTGCACCATCTATTGATAAAGCATCTGGACTTTATACAAATCTGAATAAAATGGTTATTCACATGATCGTGTTATTTTAATCCGCGCAAAAACTTTGCACAAATTTTTACATTCAAATTACAAAGCATCGTCATTGGGTACACTTAGAGTTTGTGTGTAAATACAAAACATTTATTTCCTAATCTTTTATTCGAGAGAATAGTTTCAGACAAGAGAAAACTGTTTTATTCGTTGAACAAATACGGTCTATAAATGGAATTGAAAAATTCTTCAATTTAGTTGAATTTGCTGGAGGCATTTTACTTCAATGATTGAAATATATTGAAGAGATGTAACACTGATGTGACTTTATCGACTTCCTATGGAGTTCATCATAATCGAAATTCCGTCAGGAAGCTATCAAAACTTCTTAGTATTTTATGAAGAAGATATCTAAGCCTCACCAAATCGAATATCTTCTTTCTCTCAAGTGTTTTACTTAGACTCAGTATTTTACTTCAATAATTTCTTTGTATTGTTTACACTGGATTACGATAGCAAAAACGCGTTAAACCAGGTTACAAAGAAAGAAAATTTTAGTAACATCGGTAAATGTATTTTCAATAATGCATTACATGATATCTTGTACTTTCCTTTCTTTCCTTTATTATGTCTGTTGAGGCTTTATTTTTATATCCCAAAACTATTTTAGATAACTCTTTTTCTCTTGATATTTCAAATAGTTAAACTAACCAATTGTAAAATTTCAGTTAAAAAAAATCTTTTAAATTTTAAAATATTCTATAAAATTAATATTTTAAACGTTAAAATTTTTTATATAAAAAATTGATAAATTTACGTTGCAGTCAATATAATTTCCTTAAAAATCTATTTAATATTTCTATAAAAAATTAACGTATAAAATCATATCTTTTAAATAAAAATTTAAAATTTTCTTATATAAATTTATATTTTGTTTATAATTTTAAAAAATTGTGTTAAATATCACAGATAAATTTTTCTATGGGATGATTTGAATAATGAAATATTACGAAACTTAATTCTAATATTTTAAAATTCAACGAAAAGTAAATAAAAATGAAGAATTATTAA